CTGTCAGTATCAAACCAAGTATACACCCCAAAATACCACACAGGGAGCAGTGCGGCCACTGTTGAGTCAGCAACCAAGGAGTAAAACAGCTAACAGACCAGATGGCTGCTGGCCACTTTGGGAGAGATTTCTTCATACACGCCCTAAAGCACAGCTTTTCTAAGGTACTTCTTTCAAACATTATAGAAAGAGTGAAAGGATCCTGGGTGTTTCTGTCCCTAGACCCCACTTTGTAACAGCATGCCACCTGAGACTTACTGTCCCCTTGACTCTCTGGGTAAGCTGCAGAGATCCTGACAGGGGAGTCTGCACTCCACCCACGGCAGTAACTTACAACATCCTACCTTTATTGTACTCAGAGTACCGAGGAGAGCCCACAGCACCAGGTTCTCCAACTGCCCCAAACCACAGCTACAGGCTTCACCTACAGGCATCTGTCACAATATAGCCTCAGGCTGGCCTTCAACTCAATAAGCATCCTACACTAGTCTTGAATTTTTGATCTTTTAACATCAGTATGTCCACCGCCAGAAGGACAAGTGAACACCACTCCACAGCTTGGTTTTGTAGTTATCTTAGTAACATTTTAAATACATGTATATGTATGTCAGAGGTCAGAGGGCAATTTTCAGGACTCAGTTCTCTCCTTCCACCATGTAAGTCCCTGAAATGGAACTCAGATCATCAGGCTTGGAGTTCTTCCTGCTGAGCCACCAGACCCTCGGTTTGTATTTTTCCAAACAGAAAGCTGATCTAGATTTACTCGTAGCATTTAACCATTACACTTTAGCCTGCATTCTTAAACCAGGATTTTTTGGCTTATGAATAATTCAAGGCCCTAAAATAAAACCAGGCCTCTATGTGCTCGTAGAGTGTTGTGGCCTTGCTTGCTTTGGGTAGTGTCTTTTAAAGACTAAAAAGGCTTTAAAATTTTTTAAAAATTGCATTAAAAATTCTTAGTGTGTAGTGTGTGTGTGTGTGTGTGTGTGTGTGTGTGTGTGTGTGTACATGTGCGGGATGTTCCCCTCACCTTACAATTCTGTGACAGGAGTTGTGCTGAGCTCTAACTCTTAGACTCTCTGCATTTCTGTGGTCCTGCAGAAGGTATTCCCTTCTCTCCAGGAAAAAAAATGGAAATCATGATGTCTTCCAGTGGAAGGATTTGAAAGGAAAAGTGGACAGATGGACGTGGCCGTGGCTGTGGCACTAACAAGCACAGTCAGTGCAATTTCTGCCTCTGAAGTGGGAGCCACAGACCAGGCCTCCAGGCTGGGTGACACTGAGGGTCAGACACAGCAGGGGACCTGAGTGACACAGTACTGTAGGGCAAACACACAGTAAAGCCTGCGTGGGGTGAGGAAGCAGAAGCTGGTGCACTCTGGCTGTGCCTCTGGTTTGCCACTGGCTCACCCCTCTCTCCCAGGACACTTACCCAGGTTCTCTGGAGCCACGGCTGTCCTTAAGCTCACTATGTGCTCTGAACTTCTGATATCCCTGTTTCCACCTCAGGAGTGCTGTTCACCATACTTGACTTCCTGAGGTGCTGGGGACTGAACCCCGGCCTTCACGGACGATAGGCAACCACTCTTTCCACCGAGCAACACTCCTAGTTTCCTCTCTCACACTTCTACATGACTAACATATCTCAGTGAAGGAATTCAGGAATCCCACAGTAGGCCTCCTCTCCAAAGGCAGAAGCAATCTCTGGAAAGGTGTGCAGCCTTCACAGTCACCCTCCCCCAGGAGGTCACCCTTCACACCAACAGTGACACAGCAGACAATTTGAACCGCAGCGCAGCGCAGGGAATGCACTCCTGCACCCTGCCCAGAGCCGAGTCACTCCGAGGGTGGGTGACAGGCAGCAACCCAAACACTGTTCAGAGAAGGAATCCGTACTCTTTCAAGAGTCTTGTTCCGGCAGTTTCCCTACCTTGTTTTAAGACTATAGGTAATTCAGCTAGGTGTGGTGATGCACGTCTTTAATCCTAACACTTGGAAGACAGGCAGGTGGATCTCTGTGAGTTCAAGACCAGTTTGGTCTACCAAGAGAGCTAAGGTTACACAGAAAAACCCTGTCATGGAAACAGCCCCTCCCCCCCCAAAAAAGTGTGTAACAGTAGACCCCATTCTCAGCCCACCAGCACTTGCTCACATGATGCATGCCCTGAGTGTGTCCTGAATTAGTCACCTCCCCATGTCGCACAGTCGCCCTTACTCAGCACATCAACACATTGTCGTGCTAGGAAATGGAGGGTGAGGGCCGACTTCTTCACCTGCTTCCTGCGGGGTTTCTTCCCCAGTTCTTAGAGACAAAGTAAACATCAACCAACCCGTGAGCCAGCAAGACCTTGTGAGAGAGCAGCATTCCCAGGAGAAAGAGCTGCACACTCTCCAGTTCCTGCCAGGCCCCCACTGCCACTGCCACCCCGGGTTCACTGGAGACTGCTCAGCACAAGGTGACAGGGTGGGGCAGCAAAGGTTCTAGTCTGCTGCCTGGCTTCCTTCTCTGGTCACTGACATCTTCCTGGCTGAGCTGTCCCTGCCTGGAACCTGGCCCTGAGGTGGGTGAGCTGAGCTCTCAGGCCAGCCGTGGAGGGCAAGAGAGGCAAGACTGCAGACCTCAGGAATCATGTCCTACTAGTCTTCACAGGCAACTCAGACATGCTGCAGTAGTCTAGAACAGACCAGCAGCTTGGTATCCATGAGCAAATCCAGCCTGCTATCTGCTGTGTAAATAAAGATTTGTTGGACAACAGACAACTTTCTTCTGTGGCTGCTTTTGCTCAGGGTCAAAAATATTTACAGTCTGGACTTTACTTGAGAAAGTGCCAATTCCAGACTAGACCTTTGCTGTTCCATTCGACAACCCCTGGCTGACACTTATCTAAAAGAATTTGATTTATCAGCTGTACATTTTAAGTGCTTGATGGTCACATGTGGCCACAGGCTAGTATAGTGGACGTCAATAGAGTGCATTCCCAGCACAGCAGGCTATTCTCTTCGACAGTGCTGCAAGCGCAGAATCTAAGTCATCAAGCTAAATTTACAACCATGTCCTCTTCCCTTAGAGGCAGCTAGGGCTGTGCCGGGTTAAACTACATCCCTTTCACACTTGAATTTTCAGGAATGGCAAATCTGACACATTAACCACTACCAGTATCAGTAGCTGCCAAACTACCTGAGATGGCAATCGGGTAAACAGCAGTGTTCCTTATTTACTTGACTGCCCCCACGCCAGTGCAACTGCATGTTCCAAGTTAGGATCAGCCTGGAACACGGTATTTACAATCATGAGGCATGTAAAATGAATAAGAAATGAACACTGGGCGGGGCCAGCCTGGTCTACAGAGCTAGTTCCAGGACAGGCTCCAAAGCTACAGAGAAACCCTGTCTCGAAAAACCAAAAAAAAAGAAAAAGAAAAAAGAAAAAAAAGAAATGAACACTGGGTGTACAACTGTCATGCAAAAAAGGGCCACTGAATTGAACAGACAACAAGAGCACCCAGAGTAAACTGTAACCCTCTTGCAAGATAGTCTATTACAGCTACCATTGGTTCGTGAAAGTATTTTTAAAGATTGCAAACAAAACAGCCTCCTGGATTTGGACTCTAGTTCTACTATCTAAGGGCTATGCGATCTTTGGCAAATTGTATTCCCTTCCTTTCAGGTGAAAGACCCCTCTACCTCAAAGGGCCTGTCCTTCCTTCCCAGTACCCCACAGCTGCCTGCCCAGGAGGCATTTCTTTCTGTCCTTCCTCCGACCTCGTCATTTTAAATGATCTTCAGCACTGGGCTCACAGTAGTGCTTACAGCAAGTTTAAGACAAGTTAAGGTGTTTACTTTAAGAAGTTTTTTTTATGAGGAAATCAAGTGTTCTTTGAGATTTAAAATTAGAAGCTAGCCCACCTGTTTGCATTACAAGCAAGTTTTGATTGCTACAGGTTACCTTTTCTTAAACCTTCAAGTCCCCCTGGGTACTTCACTACCTTCCTCAACAATTAGATATTAAACCAAGAGGGGACAACTCCAAGAGAGGCACAGTAAAGTCTGCAACTAACAACAGGACCCTCACAAGTTAAAGATTCTATTTATAAAATATAAAACCAAATGACGCTATTTTAGAACAAATTCATAAGCCAAAGAAGAACTAGAGTATCAGTGCCTAATAAAAACCAGAAGCCTCACCAACCAAATTTGTTGGGGTTGGAGAGATGGTGGCTCAGTTTTCCCAGCACCTGTATGGTGGTTCATAACCATCCATAACTCTAGTTCTAGAGAATCTGACCCCTGGGGGTACCAGGCATGCATGATGCACATACACTGATGCAGGCAAAACACACATACATATAAAATTAAAAAACCAACAACTGTTACCTTAAATGTGTTAATATTGGCCTTCTACACATAACCAGTCGCCTTACTGCTAACTAGCCAATGGTTAAAAATCAAAATACGAATAGCCACCTGAGTCCTGCAGCTAAGGCACCTTCTGTTCTCTGTAGTCACCCTCTGCTTCTTCCTGGCCGTCTTACATTTAGTCATTGTAGAAGCCAATTGCTACAGCATCTCAAGGTAGGGGGAGGGTAGAGAAAAAGCTACATATTTGTTTCCCACAGTCTGGGCATTCCTGTGACCTATATACACACGGAAAACTTGTTGCCCTTTCAAATCTTAAGGAAGCCTTTGTAAATGCAAAACATTTCCTAAGGCTGCACTAAAGCTAACAGCTAACATTTAAAATCAGAAGACCAGCAGATCTTAGGATTTCAAGCAGAAGCATATTTCCCTTCCGGCTGCAGGACTAGAGTGCACATCCTCCAAAAGGAGTTCTCTTCTGATCAATTCTGTACATTTTGCCCGAAGTTTATCCTTAATTCAAAACCCTTACAGTATTAAACAACACCGACACCAAGGTAACACAAACTCCGAGAGTGGACAACTTGGCCAGGCCGGCCGCCGGCCCGCCTCTCCTTCCTTCCCCAGGCAGTGACTTCACATCCTTTGACATCAGCACAGCCTCGAAAGGGGGGGGATGGGAGAGCAGGCAGAAAGCAGAAAAACCAGCTTTGAACTCTGCGTGCAAGGCCTCCTGAGCCACAGGCCCCGTAAGTAACGTGTAGAATGCCCACCAATCGGTGGGGACACCCCCGTCTGCTCAGGGGCAGTCCCATCAATGTGGAGGGGGTACTGCTAGATAGACTTCCTGCTTTTCCTATCCAAAGCACAATAGCCATTTATTAACTACCCACGGAAGGTTCCGGTCAGTAGAACACACAATAACTCACCTCGAATGTGGAGAAGGGCCACGGGCTGGAAAGGCCCGTTGGAGCTGGCCGCATCCACCACCATCCCGCTGCCCGCCTTATTACATGTCAACATCTAGGCTCCAGCGGGAAGGGCGCTGTACTCCTTAAGGCAAGAAACCAGCCTCCATTTTAGTTTAAAAAAAAAAAAGAAGACAAACTGAAGCTCTCTGCAGCTGGAGGGAACTGGCTGCTTCGTGATGTCAGTGGGCATGGAGCTCGCTGATTGGCCAGAAACTGCAACTTAAAATGACACTGGAAAAAAAAAAGCCTGCAAACGGAAAGAGCGTTCTGTTGGCTGTCAGTGTGTGTGCACGAAAAGCCTGGGCATTTTCCGGCTTTCTACGGTCTTCATTTTTCACTAAGTTTTAGGCAAGGATCCTAGCTCTCAGGGGATGGCGCTTGTATTGTACCCTCTACCTCCCAGCTCTTATTTCATTCCTTTAGTACGGCTTTTGTTTTTTTCTTTTTTAATGCTAGGGGTTGAATCTAGGACCTAGTGCTCTCTAGACAAACCGGCTACTATGTTCTACCCCCCAGCCATAAGACTCACTTTAGGAGCATTCTGTGTCCTGGCAACACAGTTTTTAAAAGAGTAATGGCTATGTGAATATTACAAAACCCCAATGCATTAGTGTTCTGCCTCCTCCTTACTACCAAAAGGGCAAATGAGGGACTTATAATCAGGACAAAAATTTTCTTCCTGAGACATTTTCACTCCCAATCTCAAATGAGGGTTAAAAAAAAAAAATCTATGAAAGAACTGCTTAATCAATAGCCAAGAAGTACTACTATGAGACTTTTTAAAGAGCACAGAATGGGGGAAAAGGACACAAGTTAAAATGCTATATCTGGTTTGGTTTATTTATTTATCTATCGTGTGTGTGTGTGTGTGTGTGTGTGTGTGTGTGTGTGTATCTCCATAGCTCAGGATGAATTACAGGGAAACAGTTCTCTCTTCCCACAATATGGGTCCCAGAGAGCAAACCTGGGTCTCCAGACTTGGTGGCAAGTAACTTAACCTGCTGAGCAATCTGGCCACCTCTATTTTTATAGTTTAAAAATGTTAATATGTTAGATTCTTTAAGTTTTGCTTTCTTTACATTCAAAATTAATTTTTCATTTATTTCTGTTATGCTACTATTCATATAATTTTTTTTAAAAAGTTAATGTAAAAATCTACTCTCAGGAGAAAGACTACTTCCAAACTGGAGCACTGTCGGCTGTTGGCGAGATGATTTCTCTACAAAAACGATGTTACTGCTAGGTCCAAAGGGAAGCAAATATGAAAATGGAAGGGATATCTGGCAGAATGAAAGATGCTTCACCTCATAGACAAATAAACATTTCTGTAAGTATGCTGTGCCATTTTATAACCTGCTCAATTCAAGAACAAGATAAATAGCCCTTTAAACTCTTAAACACACCTGACACGCTGGCCAGTTACTTCTATGTGTCTAGCCTAATAATTGTAGTGGATGAACGGATAGCCCATTCAGGGTGATTATTGGACCCTCCCTCACCAATGAGAACATAGATTTTACATGTTCAGTAACTGTTAAGGCAATTCAACAGGAAAAAAAAATCTAAGGCTATTTGTATCCCTGCCCTCTTTCCCTCAGAGCCAAAGGGGCTGTGGGATTCTACAGCTTGGCAGAGGGGAGAATCTTGCCGGGCTAGATGGAACTGCAGCTTCAGGCACACCAGGCCAGCAAACTGCCATGAGTTACACCTCAGTCCTAGCAATCCTGGAACATGGAAGCACTTGCATATACAGGCTACACAAGAGATTCCGCCTGCCCACTTGTCCCCAGGAGTTTCTCAATTGACCCCACTTTGTCTCTGAAGAGAGTTTATCCCCCTTCCCTAGTCAGGCAGTGCTGAGGACAAGGCACACCTCCCTCACCATCACCTTCTCATTCAAGGAGTGATGCCAGGTGAACTCAGACACCAAGAGCAATGCGGTCCACAAGCAAATACCCCTTGTGTTCTGCCTATCAATAATTTACTATTTCACAGGGGTGAGATGGGGATGTGCTGACGAACTGGAATACGGAAATACGGCGGAGAAGATGCCTAGAAGCTTTATATAACATAGACAGGTTCAAAGGCAAAGAAAGAGAAGACACTTTTTGATGTATTTTTCCTAATGATCTTAGATCAAAGGATTTCAAACTTTATTAGTGATTTCTCCCATACTCTTTGAAACTGTATGCATATAAAGTAGTTCTTTAAAGAACTCTAAGACTATAATCTGGAAATCACTGATAAAACATACTGCAGATGGGATGATGGGGCACACCGTACTCTCAGTACTCAGCTGGAGCAGGAGTTTATGACAGACTAGACTATACAGTCGAACTCTATTTAAAAATAAAAAACGGGGGGGGAGGGGCTAGATAGACAGCTCAGAGGTTAAGAGCATTGGCTGCTCTTCCAGAGGTTCTGAGTTCAATTCCCAGCAAGTATACGGTGGCTCACAACCATCTGTAATGAGATCTGGTGCCCTCTTCTGGCATGTAGGTGTACAGGCCGGAGGAATAGTGTATACATAATAAATAAGTAATAAAAAATAAAAACAAAAAGATGCCCCTAAAACTCTAAAAATATAAACACACAGGAGAAAGGGGAAAAACCCTAACAGTCAGGAGATGTGTTCATGAGCTGGAGGTACAGATATCTGTAAAGATAGTCGAGTTAGAGCCTGACTAAATGCCTGATATTCTTTTTCACTCAAAGTCCAGATGGGTCTCTTTATTTTCCAAGATAAATGATAAAATAATTTTAAAATTTACCTGGAAAAAAATACAATTCTGAAGAGAGAAGCTGGTGCCACCAACTATAAAGTCAATAGATTATAACAGTGTGGCCAGGTACACATGAGAGAAGAACAGGGGGACACAAGCAGTGACCAACCCAGCAGACACACTCAGGTGATGCACAATAAACCATGTCACTGGACTGGAGAAGGGTGACAGCTGCTAAATTATATGCAGGAAAAGTCAACTGAAATCTTTTCTCACACCAAAATAAACCTGGTATGAATTAGATAAGCAAACAAAGCAAATCACAACTACTCCAGCTCCCACAGCTTTCAGACGGGAAGAACCATTCCACAGCTAGAAAAGGATACTTACAACACCTGACGGAGACTGCTCAAATCTGAAGCTAGTTATTTTGTATGTTCCAGAATAATTATTTTAAAAAACAGAAATAACCCCAAACTTCTAGAGATTCCGCCCAAAAAAATATAAATACAGATCAATAAAATGTATTAGAAAAACATTAAGACTTTAGGATTTAAATGATCTAGTTCATGTAAAAAGAATGGTCAGAAAGTATTTTTTATCTGTTAGGTCAACAATATTTTGTTGCTGTTGTTTTGTTTTGTTTTTTCAAAACAGGGTTTCTCTGTGTAACAGCCCTAGCTGTCCTAGAACTAGCTCCTGTGGGCCAGGCAGGCCTTGAACTCACAGAGATCTGCCTGCCTCTGCCTCCCAAGTGCTGGGATTAAAGATGTGTGCCACCACCACCTGACTCAACAATAATCTTTTTACATTTATTTATTTTGTCTGTATTTATTTAGTGCACACATGTCACAGCACCAATGTGGAAGGTCAGAGAAGCTTAGAGTCAGTTCTCTCTTCCCACTATATGGGCCCAGGGGACAGAAGCTGGGCTTGGCAGGAGCACCTCTGCTCACCGACTCATCCCAGCTGCCCAGCTCTAATGGTACAAATGACAGTACCTGCATATGAGAAGCTCTGACAACAGAGCTATGAACTGTGCTCACTGTCTTAGAAAATAAAGTTCAATTCTGGTACAAAGAAGCTTTTCTTAATAATTTTACTTTAAGAATCAATTCTAGAAATAACCATGAATGAAACAGTTCATTCAGAACATATTTAAAAGCCATGCTAAAATATGACACCATGAAATTTATTATCTCAACTGCTTAAAGATTTGTTACATTTACCTGTGTGTGTGTGTCTGTGTGTGTCTGTGTGTCTGTGTGTGCCCACACACATCATGACACGCATCAGAGGACCACTTGCAGGAACCAGACCTTTCCTTCTACCTGTGGGTCTTCCCAGGATAGAACTCAGATCGTCAGTCTTGGCGGCAAATACCTGTACAGCCCCATCTTAACCATTTTCACCTGTACAGTTCTTAGTTCTAGATCCTTTGGGTTATGCATCCTGATGTGAAATTGCAGTAAGACCACTCTAAAGTTTACACCGTGCCTCCATATGGTTTTTACAGTGCTGGTACTATTTGATGTACAATATACAATACACATTGTCAGCAATACTGTTTTTTGTGTATGGTCTCAGTATAATTTTCACTTGCATCATTAATGATCAGTGATGCTGAGCTTGTATCTATGGGTCTATGGGTCATTTATGTATATTCTTCTGAGAAATGTCAACTTACATCTTTTATATATTTAAGTAAAGTTGTTTTGTTGTTGCTCATGTTCTTCATATATGGTCTAGATATTAATCCATTATCAGGTAGGTGGTTTGCAAATATTTTCCTCTATTCTACAGGCTGCCCATTCTGCAGATTGTGTGTCCCTGCATATACTGAGGTTTTCGACTTTGACATAGTCCAATTTACCTAGTTTTTTATTACACATACTTTTTAACACTGTGTCCAAAAAATTCATTGCTAAATCAAATATCATGAACTCCCTACTCCCAATTCCTTTATTTATTTATTTATTTATTTTGTATACAATATTCTGTCTATATGTATGCCTGCAGGCCAGAAGAGGGCACCAGACCTCATTACAGATGGTTGTGAGCCACCATGTGGTTGCTGGGAATTGAACTCAGGAACTTTGGAAGAGCAGGCAATGCTCTTAACCTCTGAGCCATCTCTCCAGCCCCTCCCAATTTCTTCTAAGGGTTTTTATACTTTTGGTTCACAGATTTAGGATTTTGACCCATTTCGAGTTAATTTCTGTCTGTGTGAGAGCTAAGGATTCAACTTCTGTCTTTTGCCTGTGGACTTACAGTTCCCAGTACTCACCCCCTTTGAACTAGATTTACTCTTGGCTTTCCAATATAGGCTACTGGCCTTGGGGGTCATTATGAAAAACCACAATATAACTTTGTTGTTTTAAAATCAAGATGTGGGCTGGAGAGATGGCTCAGATGTTAAAAACACTGGCTGCTCTTCCAGAGGTCCTGAGTTCAATGTCCAACAATCACATGGTGGCTTATAACCATCCATAATGAGATATGGTGCACTTTTCAAAATGGCCTGCAGGCATACAGGCAGACAGAACACTGTACACATAATAAAGAAATAAAATAAAAATAAAATCCTCTAATCATTTCCTTCTATTTCAAGATTTTGGATCTCTTGCTTTTCCCAATAGATTTTAAGATGAATTTTTCTATTTTCCAATAAAACATAATTCATATTTTGTTAGGCATTGCCTACATCTGTAGGTCACTAGGACAGCATTAACCCCTTAACCACCCTAGTCTTCCAAGCCAAAAGCACAGGCTGCCCCTCACTCAGTGCTGCCTTCTATCTCTGTTTTGAGTGCTTTAGAGTTTTCAGTGGAGCAGTTTCTTAAATCTTTAATAAGCTTATTCCTGCCGGGTGGAAAGAGTTTCTTAACTCTTTGATAAGCTTATTCCAGCACTCGGGAGGGAGAGGCAGGCGGATCTCTGTGAGTTCGAGGCCAGCCTGGTCTACAAGATCAAGTTCCAGGATAGGCTCCAAAAGCTACAGAGAAACCCCGTCTCAAAAAAAACCTAAATAGCCAACCAACCAACCTTTTTTGGAGAAAGGGTTTCTCTGTATAACAGTCCTGGCTGTCCTGGAATTCACTTTGTAGACCAGCTTGTCCTCAAACTCACAGAGCTCTGCCTGCCTCTGCCTCCCAAGTGCTGGGATTAAAGGTGTGGGCTACCACCAGCCAGCAAGAAGTTTATTCTTTGAGACTATGACATTTTATTTATGATTCTAAAACACTTACTGTAAACTACCTTAATGTCAAAGGGACTGTGATAGGCTGTTTAAGTTTACACAGCCATCAAAATATGTATGTATAAAAACCAGAAATGAGTGGAAAGGACAATACAATTTCTCACTGCCATGGAGGTCACTAATGGGCTGCTCTTTTAGACTAAGACTTCAACTGTTTTTCAGCACAGCTAAAGCAGTCACATCAGCTGCTGCAAAGGGGCTGCAGAGAGGATGCCTGGGAAGAGGGAACGTTCTTTAGTGGCCCAGGAGGCTTCTTGTCTGGAAATGGAGCAACACATGCCCCAACCTGTCACAGAGAGGCACAAATTCATAATGACTCTGCTACCCTGCTGAGTTCAAACCCAAAGTGCAGAACCCTGGCAGGATGCCACTAAACCGGGTCCCAACAAGACCAAATGCAAGCAGTTGCAGCTATTGTTCCTCTCAGAACACATCTGTCTATCAACTGTAAACCGGGAAGACCCCTTGGCTGACACAGCAGAGCCACTTACAAGACTTACAAAGCCACTTAGGAGACTAAGCCTGGGGCAACCACTGGGCTTGACCGACTTGGGGGGGGGCAAGGGTCTCTCTCCCAGGCTAGTGTCGTCAGTGCACTGCAAGAACATGTCAAACAGGCAATAGAGAGCCCCTGGCTACACTTGGTTTTATGTCTCTTCCTGGCAGTGCAAAACTAAGAGGGGCATGCTTCCAAACCACATCAAGCACAACACTGCCCTGGCCATGAAGCAGACCCCTCTACAGCTGGCAGATGCTTCCAGTCGCCATGTGTCTCCAGTGCTAGAGCCTTCTGCACTGCTTCTCAACATTTTCCAGGCCTCCTAGTCTGGGGCTGCATTCTGAAGGGCTGGAACTAATGCCAAGATGGTGGCTGTCAGCTCAGCACAGCAGGCCTCCTACAGGAAAAGTAGCCAGTGGAGCTGTATGTAGCTTTCTGTGTAGATTCTGGGTATAGAATCTTTGTACTACATGAACGACCTGAAAAGGCTTTAGGTGCTGTAGGAAGTCTTACAGCTAGTGGTAACCCGCCCACCGGGGCGTGGCCTCTTGTACTATATATGCTGATGCAGACAGAGCATGCGTCCGGCCTCTTTTCCCCCTCCTCTCATTCTGTTCTGTTCTGGTTCTCCGTTCCCACAGAGGATTCTTACTTGTGACTGTACCCCTAAATAAATAACCATCTATTTCTCAATTCTGAGCTAGTGTGGGATTTCTTTTAAGCGACCTTTTAAGGCTGTATTCCTTGGTTTTTCTGAAAATGTTTTATTCTCTGTTTTTAAAAAACAAAACAACGTAATAAAAAAAAAACCCTGCCTATAAATACATCCTACTGATTTTATTTTTTGGTAGTATTTCTGAACAAAACTTTCAAATATTGATTTCTAAAGTTAGTCAAAGGTTTTCTTTTTCTTTCTCAACCACTCCAATCTAGCATTTTAACCTAGAAGTCTGTGGCACTGGAATGGCAGTGTGCTGGCATCAGGCAGGCTAGTGCCATTTTTTTAAAACTCCTGGGAACTGTGTGAGGATGGCTATTGTGGATCTTGTTGGGTAAGAAGCTTATAACCTAAAAACTCTGGCTTCACTTGTAGTTCAAAATAGACTTTCCTTAGACAGGTTAAAGCTCTCTTAGTATGCAGCTCTGCCAAGGCTGCCAGGGAAGTGCCTTGCCAGCACCAAGGACAAAGGGACATGCTCTGATGGCCTGTTGATTTGAGCAAGTCTCCAGTGACTGAACAGGGTCAGGAGAGCTTATCTCTGGGGAGGGAAGTAAAGCTTGCCTACTTCAGCTCCTACGTACAGATCTGGGCTTACTTTAAATTCCTTTTTTTTTTAAAAAAAAAAATTATTTATTCATTGTACTTTATGTATACGAGTGTTCTGTCTTCATGCACACCAGAAAAATGAATCTAATCCCATTACAGACAATTGTGAGCCACCATGTGATTGCTGGGAATTGAACTCAGGACTTCTAGAAAAGCAGTTAAGTGCTCTTAACCACTGAGCCATTTCCCCAGCCCTCACTTGAATGCCTCTCAGACCAGGGCAGGTGCCCACATCTTTTTTTGCTCTGAGAATACAGGAAACCAGGGACTATACAGAAAGTATCCAAACATCTCAGAATTCCCTTACTTATTATTTTGTGTAGTCTGCCTCCATCCTTGCCAGTCCTATAGCAGATCAGCTAAGCAACTGATCTCATTTTTAAGAAGGATCCCAAGGCAGAAGAAGGAGAAGGAAGCCATGAGACTGATTGTACCTGGGCATCCTGGACAACCTGAGAGGTGACATCATGCAGTCTCCCTGAATGCTAAAGGGATGGGGAAGGACAGGCCAGAGCTACAAGAGCTCTTCCCTACAGCAAATCCACCATGAGTTTCCTGGATCTGTACTGACAGGTCCCTGGACACTGGGGACAATGGCCAGCATATGGTGAAGGGTAGCATGTTTGAACACTTTCTTCCTCAGCCTCCAGAGAAGGAAGTACCCAGAACATGCAATGCAACATTATTTAGCCTTAGGAAGGAGGAAAGTTCTGGTGAGCCTTCAGGGTTCCTGCTAAGTGAAGTGAGCCAGATGGAGAACAGATACAGGAGGACTCCTGCAGCCATCAAACTCCAGAGAGAAACAGAGTGGAGACTACGACAGAGGGGAATCTACTGCAAGGCAAAGCTTCTGCAAGGATGATGAGAGTCTGGGAAGACAGTATGGATGGAGAGTTGGGAATGCATGGAATGCTGCTGACTGCACCTGTGGTGTGTGGGTCACATGATGAGCATGCTATGTACACTCTGCCACAGTTTCAAGACGAAGGTCTGAGTCAGGGAAGCTCAGGAGACATTGGGCAGCAGAAATGGTGGGTCATAGTCTCCCTCTGGGGGAGGCAGGCCGCTGTGGGAACCGGGTTTTTAGCTGGAAAGAGTGAACTGAAGGTGGGTGCCCCCCCAAACACCCCCCCGCACACATGCATGTTTGATAAAGATCTGAATTTAAAGGGTTTAAAGAAATCTAGGTGAGTGGTAAAGAAGGCTTAAGCAAAACACATGAAATGTGAGCTGGTGTGGGTAGTTAGAAACCTGGGATGTGACCTGGAAAGGCTGAGTAGCTCAAGGGAGAGCTGTGGGGAGGAGGGTGGCCTGCAGAATGCAGAGGGGCTGACTGCAGGCTCAACTGTCTGTCAAGCTGCTGGCTATTACTTATGGCATGGCCAGGAGTCACCTGTGGTCACCTCTCTGCTCACTGGTTCCTATGCTCTAACCACAGGTGGTTAAGAATTTGCTGTGTTCTGGCATGTGCCCACCCAGGGCACATAGGCCATCAAGAGAAGACACGGCACCAAAGCAGTGAGAAAATAAAGAACTGGAGCATTAGAGAAGACTGAGTGTAGGGTTCCCTGCAAGAGGCCAACCCCTGGAAACATAAGCAGAATACATTTCTAAGCAGTGAGAACATGCACTTCTACAGAAGAACTTTCAACTATATTAGAATGAAGGTGGAGTACTGAGCTTTCACAAGGGAAGGCAACATTTTCCTGCCATTCAACAGCCAGTCTGAGGAGTTCTGGATGGAAGGGCTCTTTTCACAAAGATCCAATACTCAGCGACTCACCCGCAGCTCGCTGAAGGTCCACACTAGCCTCCTCCTGGCTTTGTTTTCAGTCTTGTCGACACTGTTTTGAGACAGGGTCTCACCATGACACTCGCTGGCCTCCAACTCTGCCTGCCTCTCCCTCTTGACTTTGGGGACTAGAAGGTGTGTACCATCATACCTGGTTGACCTTTTGTTTTTAAAACACAGAAAACAGACTCAAGAAACAAGTCATGAATAACTTACTGCCCTTGTAAGTCACTTAAAACAACAAACGTGTGTCTCGTTACATTTAGCAATTCTACCTTCCAGACCCCAAAATGCCAAATGAAAGGACTGACTCAGACTAATCTTTCAATGAGTGGGTCTGAAGACTGTAATCAACCTTTTAGATTAAAATGCAAAATACTCTTTCACGCAGCAAATGACTGAAGCTTTTATACTACCCAGTGGTGAACAAGCACTATGGGACCCGCATCTCACACACACACTGGGAATTTTGTGGACAAAATCTGTAATGGGTTTTTTTTGCCATCTTCTGACACACCACTTCTCTTTGAATTCAGCTTAAGGGATGAACATGAACAATGACAACAACACTTTATAAACAAGTTTATAGAAGAATTTGTTTGTGCTGCTCAAAGTTTAAGAACCCACAGAATGGAGTAATAGCTGACACTGAGAGCTGTGCCTTCCATTCCCACTAATGCTGGAACAAGGCAAGCACGGCCACATTCACCACCATCGTGGCGCATATAATGACACCGAGGAAAGACAGGGCGGTGTAAGCACTAATCAAAGAAGGGGGTTCCGTATGTGTATTAGAGAGTTAACTAGACACCCAGACATTCCGAACAACCTAAAAAGACATTGTACAGAGTAAGGAAAGCCAGAAGAGGAGTGTGATATGAAAGCACGAATCAAAAAGCAATAGCTTTTGTAGAAGCAACGACTGTCTCTAAGACATGGAAGAGTAGGCCCGGCTTACACCACCAACAGCAGCCAACCATCTGAGCCATCAACACACAAGAAGTGTGCCCGACCTCATGAGAGGGCTCTGAGAGTTCAAGGCCAGCCTGGTCTACAGAGTTAGTTCTAGGATAGCCTAGATTACACAGAGAAACCCTGTCTCAAGAACAAAACAAAACAAAGAGAGAAAACTGAAAATCCTTGAAAATAAAACATTATAGTGTAAAATTTAAATAGAAAATATTAAGTGAATGCATTATTTAAAATAATGTATATTTGACTTCCCTTTAAGTTAAAAGTACTGTGTCCCAGTAACAAATGAGCACACCCTCCCCAATCATGCAAACGGCTTCTGATCTTCAATAGCATTCTTCACTGAAAGGAACCAGGACTCTGAAAAACAGCTATGGTTAGGCTTGAGACAAGAAGGTATATAATGAGCCTGGGAGGCATCTTACCATAACAGAAATTGAGGCATCAAAAAAAAGTAAGTAAGGGAGATGTTCAGTGAGTACAGTGCCTGCCATGCAAGTATGAAGGACTGAGTTCAAATCACCAGGCCATGTAAAAATGTAATTCCAGTGGTGCTCTGGAGAGATGGGAGGCAGAGACAGAGAGCGCTTGGGTCAGCTAGCTCACTGTATCATCAAACAAAAGACCCTGCTTCAAACAAGGTGGAAGGTGAAGGCTGACAGCTGAAGTTGCCTATGACCTCCATACATGTGCCATGATGCACACCAATGCTCCATACATAATGTACATATGCATACAAACACACATCTCACATACACACATGTGCACAAACACACAAATAAAATAAGTTAAGACATGTCCCAAGATACACAGGGTGGGCTGGAGAGACAGCTCAGAGGTTAAGGGCACTTGCTGCTCTTGCAGAGGATTCGAGTTTGATTCCTAGTACCCACATGGTGGCTCACAACCACCTGTAACTCCGGTTTCAGGAGATCTAATGCCTTCTTCTGACGTCCATAGTCACCAGTCACAGACATGGTGCACAGGTCTGTGCACCAATTCATGAAGCACATCATTCATACACGTAAGTGACAGTAAACAAAAGGAAATTTTAAGGAGGTATACCAAGGGTTGAAATCATGCATTTTAACATTAAAAAAGCTAAAAATCAAAGATTCCACTGAATTCAAAGATAATAAAATAGCCACACTGATACTCATCAAAAGGTCAGAGGGAAATTGCTAACCCAAAGACAGAATAAAGCTTACTCTAATTTTCACACATCCAGTTGGTAGGAAAAAGAATGTCTGTTAGCGGGCTCCACTACTGACTCTGAAGGGTTAGAGATGCCCGAGCTAACAGCCTTGTACAGCTGATGGGGACTCGCACGCAGGACACCCGATGGTCCTCACAAATTATTCCTAGTGCTTTCTGCACTGCACCGGGGATGTGACTGCACGACAGAGATCACTCTGCTGGCACCTTCGCTCGGGGGTGCAGCCTGTCCTCACTTCTGCTTGGCTGCCATAGATGATGTATCTCCCACAATGAGGATGCCATCACCCGGCTACACAGCGTCACTTGTGATGCACTCCAGCCAAGAGGCTCCACTTAGAGCAACTACAGGGGTGAGCAGGGCACTGGGTGGAGCAGCTAGCTTGGCTGACTATTTAGTAGTCAAGGGTCGTGATTTAGGGAACTCCCAGACTGCAA